TTGTTTTAACACCACACTGCACCCCAGAAGCGGCCAGGAGCAGGTCCGGCTCCTAGGCGGGTGGCCCATGGGGCTCTGCACACTGCCCCCGCCCCAAGCACTGGGGTTCCTGGCCAATGGGAGCTGGGGGGGGGGGCAGTGCCTGGGGGAGAGAGCCACATGGAGGAGCTTTTGCGCCTCCACCTAGGAGCTGGACGTGCTGCTGGCTGCTTCCGGGGCACAGTGGTCCGCGGTGCCAGGACAGGCAGGAAGCCTGCCTTAGCACCCCCGCTGCGCCGCTGACTGGGAGCTGCCTGAAGTAAGTCTGCGCCCTAATCCCCTGCCCCAGCCCTCCCAAACCCAGAGCCCCTTCCTGCGCCCCAAACCCCTCATCCCTGGCCCCAGCCCAGAGCCTGCACTCCCAGCCCAGAGCCCTGACCTGCTCCCGCACCCCAATCCCCGGCCCCAGCCCTGATTCCCCCCCCAAACCTGGAGCCCCCTCCTGCACCCCAAATGCCTCATCCCTGGCCCAACTCCGCAGCCCTCACCCCCGCACCTCAACCCTCTGCCCCAGCCCTGAGCCCTTCCCACCACCCCAAACCCCCTCATCCTCAGCTCCGTTGCATTGTGGGCATCAACAATTTATTTCAACTGGGTTGCCAGAAAAAAAGTTTGAAAACCACTGAATTTTAAATCATTCCACCCTGTTGTAAAGTGATTGGTTTAGAAATTCCTCTGCAAATTCTTTTTTATCTGCTTCAACTATCACGTCACTGAAGAATTAAACTATACACCTGAGTACCCATTAGGGTGGAGTTCTGGAAAGTGTTTACTTAAGTTACTGGGCGTGTGTGTTCTGCACTGGTCTTGGGGCTAGGGCAGCTGGACCAAGAAGGGGTACCAGACAAGAGTCTGTTCCCGGGGAGTGAGCCTAGAGGCCAAAGAAAGAGTGTGCCTGGAGCTCCCTCAGAGCCAGAGGAGCTTAAAAGCATATGGATCCAATCTTAGCAGCCTGGTGAACCTCCAAAAAGGGGCAGCTACACCAGGTCTGTGAAAGCTTGTTAATTCTGGCTCATGGATATCCCTCATCTGTTGAAAAGGCTGCCAGTTTTGTCCTGCCACCTCGTTTATAAGTAGGACAGGACAGACTTCTGTGCTGCAGGTCTTAGGATCTAAAACTTTTCTACAAAAAAATAAATTTGGGGGCAGTTGAGCTTTAATGTGTCTGGATCTGTGTCAAATGGTTTGGCTGTCTTCTGGGGTTGAGCCTCTGAATTCTTGGCTTCTCTCTCTTGCTGAGGCACTGCAGGTGGTGCATGCTCTGGTATGCCCCTCATAACCTGCTAGATACTTGTTTGGCAGGTGGTCAAATGAAAAACCTTCAATTCCTAAACCTTTTTCCAGGTAATGCATGGATAGTGAGCTCTACTGGTTTTATGGCTGGGGAAATGCCCCTTCCTCTCTTTCTCCCCATCTCCTGCCTAGCCCACAAACGAATCATCCAGACCGCCTTATTAACAAGGCTAGACAAAAGCCAGGCTGGAGAGGCTATCAAGATGGCAATAAGGGACCATTGTGCCCAACTCCACAGAATACCCAACAGTCCACATATTTCATGGCCTGTTATCAAAGGCCTTAACTAGCTGCTGTTTTTCCAGTTAGACTTATCTATGTAAGCTTTTTCCATTCAAGGTATATAAGGGTGGAGGTTGCTTTTCCTGGGGCAGCTCCAGTTCCCTCTTCCATCAGCCAGGTGACCACAGTTCCAATTGGTGATTCCTGAGTCTGTCCATGCTGGATAAAAATCCCCATAAAGGAGTCAGGAATCTATGAACATACCCTCCTCCAAGACTTGCGTCTGACAAGGGGATCAAAGAAGCAGCAGCCCTGTGAAGCAGACAAAAAGATTAAAATAATTGGTCAACAAAAGCTGGTCCAATAAAAGATAGTACCTCACCCACCCTGTCTCTCTCAAATAATCCAGACACCCATCCCACTAGCTCTGCAGGAATTTCCTTAGCTCTGTGCTGTATGTTGGAATCTCTGTCTGATTCAGACAGGGTAAAAGTGCAGGAGCCCATTCCTTGCTGCCTCCCCCAATGCACATGGGAGGAGGGGAGGGAATACAAAATAACACTGGCCATTTTAAGCTCAGTCATAGATTTGTCTTTCAGACTCTTACTAAGGGTGTTATAAGGATCCTTGCACCTACCCAAAGCACTACTCTCAAAAAGGCAGTCGCCAAGAAAAGCTGTCACGGGGGCTCAGACTCTTCTTCCTGAGAGGAAGGTCAGTTCTTGGATTTGAAACTCGAGGGACAAGGAAAAGGAAATATAGGATGGGTTCCATCAGGAATACTTCAAGACTATTCTAAGGAGGTTTATTTCTGCATAAGACCCTTGCTTTGTGGCAAGTCTTCCATTTTGTAAACAAAAAACAACCGGCTCCCTCCCCAAAAAACCAAAAACCAGACAGCAAAATGTCCAGAAGATATTTTTCTTCCGCTTCAAAATTAGTTCCTTATATCCCATTAAATGGTGTCCAGATTATGGCAGAACGGGAGGGCCCTGCAATACCCCAAGCTCTGTGGTACAATGGACCTCATTGGATCTCTAATTCAAAGCTTGTGGATTTGTATCCCACTATAGTTGCCAGTAGACAGACAAGTGAATTAATCTGTAAGGAAGATCTATGAGGCAGATTCAGCATCTCAAAAGGCCTCCGCAGAATCCACCTGCTTGGCTTGAGCAATCCTGACATAGATAGAATTGCTGTCTAGTTTCCTCCCAAAACTAATCAGTCTCATGTTTGCTTGGCATTCTCAGCCAGGGCAACTGCCCCCTCTCCCCCCCCTTTTTATCCCTCCCTCCACACCTTAGTACCCAAAGAAAAGAAATGTGTTGAGTAAGCACAAATATTCTTATTCTTGCTTTCCATATTATAATTTAATTTTAAAGCTTTTTTAGCAGGGAGGGAGCTAGATGACTTAGTAATATTTTCATATATTTCCATGATTTTAGGTAACTAGTACTCTGGGTCATTGTCCACATACCCTTGGAAAATAAGCTATGAGAAATTTCTTTAATAAATTATCTATTTTTTTAACTATAATTTTCTGAATCTCACTGTCAGAAACTGATTACTTGACTTGGGTAAGTTTTAAATGTCCTATGTTAAAACGAATAAGACATTTCTTTCCATGAGGCAAAAGGAGTGTCTGAGCTGGAAATTATAATAGTACCATTTATCCCAGGGCGAAAACAAGTACATGCTATCAGTCTTTCCCACGCTTCCAACATGACTGCATTGCTGATCTGGCTGAGAAGGCTTTTTCTTAGGTTTGACTTAACCATGTACGTTCCACTTTTAGTTTGATTGTATTGTAATATCATGGAGTTCTGCCAGGCTTTGAGATCGCTAGGGATGAGCATTATTGTCTCTTTAGCATTATTACTTATTTTCAGTGGGGAGTAAATAGAGATGCTTCTTCTTTAGATGATGTACTTTTTAAAATTAAGAATGAAATATAAAAACTTTAAGAAAGCTATGAAGGGAACACGTTTTTGGTGAAGTACACAAACTATTGTGCTTTTTCTGGATGGGCAGAGTTGGTGATTGGGAAGGAAAACAACTGAATCCTTGCAAAGATAATTGAACTTTCTCTTCTTTGAAAGTATGGATCAGTTAAGGAAGCACCATGTCCAACATGTTCACTAGCCAAGATTTTAAAGATTTTCATTGCATTGGATCAAGTGGGAAATCACTTATGGCCCTATTGTGATACCATTGATGTCAGCGGGATTGTTTTTGGAATAAGATGCTACTCAGTGTGAGTAAAAATGTTGCAATCTGGCCTATAATTTTTAAATAAAGTAGAATGAAACCATTTGTCTATAATAAGTATCTGCAATTTTAGTAGTGTGGCTTTCATGCACATGACTTCAGCACTGATGATCAAAATTACTTTAAATCTGGAGCTCTTGTGAGGCACTCAGTACAAATGCCTTTGGGTGTGTGTCACCATCTCTGCTCCATTACAAGGTTTTTGCCAGCTTTTTTGCTTTTTGGCAGCATTCCTTCATTTTACGCCACATGGAAGGATTCACCAAAGGTTAATACTCAGATATTTGATGTTTACTACTTTATGTGTTTTTTTTCTGTAGTAAAGTATAGTTCTAGTAAGAAACTTCAGTTTATTGCAAACTGGTGTATGGGTAGGTTATGGCCCATGTCGATGAGAAAACGCTGGTTTCAATAAACAGAACTGAATCCAGGTATTAGGTGTGGTTCTCTGGAGGTCCTCTCCAGTTGCAGCAACTCACCACTACTACTCCAGGTCTCTTTCACCATCACCACCATGTTCTATTGTATGCTTCCAGTAGGCCATAGCCTGTAGCGTTGTTTACATATATTTACAGTCCCTAGCCAGTTTCCCCACTTGCTTCTAGGGAAGGGAACAGTACTAGCGGCATCTAGTCCTGTGTACCTCAAGATCCCTCACCCCTGGACTTTCTTCCTGTCAGTTTATATAATCCCACCTGCTGGGGTTGCTTCCTTATGGGTGCTAAAGTGACAGGGTACTGAGTTAGCTCCTGACTTAGCACACCCTGTTGCTCTAGGTTTTTAAAAGGTTACCCACTATCATAATATCTGAATGCTTGTGGTCTTCATTGGGACTATTCAGTATGTCCTACTTCTCAGTTGCAATTAATAGAATGATTTGTTAAGCTCTAATAGCTATTCCTGCAGTTGAAATTGTATTTGTTTGCATCTGTATGTTTTTAAATATGTCTTAAATCAGGTTATAAAAACCTAAATATAGAAATAGCAAGTCACCACTGGGAAAGGCTGTGTCACCAATGGATTAAAAAGTGATATAAGGGAATTTAATCACTTTTTAAAAAAAACTGAACACGATTTAAATACAAATCTTGTAAAATAAATGAAAAATGTCTAGGCCTCCTATTGATAGCTGTATTACAGCTCTCTAAATAGACTAATAATTCATATTTTTCTTATAGCTTCAAGAAACTAATTGACACACACATCAAAAGATGGCTAGATCTAGATCAAGATCACCAAGGTGGAAACACAGGTAAATGCTTAACTTTTATTATGGTTTATATTAGAGCTGTTAATAGAATACCATTTATTTAAATATTTTTGGATGTTTTCTACATTTTCAAATATATTCATTTCAATACAATACAGAATACAAAGTGTACAGTGCTCATTTTATATTTATTTTTGATTACAAGTATTTGCACTGTAAAAACAATCTCTCTATCATGTAAGTTGAATTTCAAAAAGTAGAATTATGTACAAAAAAACCCTGCATTCAAAAATAAAACCATATAAAATTTTAGAGCCTGCAAGTCCACTCAGTCCTACTTCTTGTTCAGCCAATCGCTCAGACAAACAAGTTTGTTTACATTTGCAGGAGATAATTCTGCCTGCTTCTTGTTTACAATGTCACCTGAAAGTGAGAACAGGCATTTGCATGGCACGTTTGTAGCTGGCATTGCAAGGAATTTACGTGCAGGATGCGCTAAAGATTCATATATCCATTCATGCTTCAACCACCTTTCCAGGGGACATGCATCCATGCTGATGACAGGTTCTCCTCAATAACAATCCAAAGCAGTGCAGACTGACGCATGTTTATTTTCATTATCTGAGTTAGATGCCCCCAGCAGAAGGTTGATTTTCTTTTTTGGTGGTTCGGATTCTGTAGTTCCTGCATCGGAGTGTTGCTTTTTTAAGACTTCTGAAAGTATGCTCGACACCTCGTCCCTCAGTTTTTGGAAGGCACTTCAGATTCTTAAACCTTGTGTTGAGTGCTGTAGCTATCTTTAGAAATCTCACATTGGTACCTTCTTTGGGTTTTGTCAAATCTGCAGTGAAAGTGTTCTTAAAATGCCAACATGTGCTTGGTCATCATCCGAGATTGCTATAACATGAAATATATGGCAGAATGCAGGTAAAACAGAGCAGGGGACATACAATTCTCCCCCAAGGAGTTCAGTCACAAATTTAATTAACGCATTATTTTTTTAACGAGTGTCATCAGCATGTCTTCTGGAATGGTGGCCAAAGCATGAAGGGGCATACGAATGTCTAGCATATCTGGCACTTAAATACCTTGTCATGCCAGCTACAAAAGTGCCATGCAAATGCCTGTTCTCACTTTCTGGTGACATTGTAAATAAGAAGAGGGCAGCATTATCTCCTGTAAATGTAAACAAACTTGTTTGTCTTAGCAATTCGCTGAACAAGAAGTAGGACTGAGTGTACTTGTAGGCACTGAAGTTTTACATTGTTTTGTTTTTGAGTGCAGTTATGTAACAACAACAAAATCTATGTTTGTAAGTTGCACTTTCACGACATGGAGATTGCACTACAGTACTTGGTATGAAGTGAACTGAGAAATACTATTTCTTTTGTTTATCACTTTTACAGTGCAAATATTTGTAATCAAAAATAATATACACTTTGATTTCAATTACAACACAGAATACAATAGATATGAACATGTAGAAAAACATCCAAAATATTTAATAAATTTCAGTTGGTATTCTATTGTTTAACAGTGCAATTAAAAACTGTGATTAATTGCGATTAATTTTTTGAGTTAATCGCATGAGTTAACTGCAATTAATCGACAGCCCTAGTTTATATTTGTTTTCAGAACATAGCTTTATGTAGGAGTTTATAAAACAGCCTGTATCTTCTAGGATAGCAGAACAAAAAGATATTAAGACTAAAAATGTATTTCAAAGAAAACATTTATTTTATAAAATACTAATTTTATGTAATCTGTAAAAGCAAGTTTTCAAAAGTAAATTGAGTTCTTACTTGCATGAAATTTGAGCCAGATAGAAAGTGGTAATAGGTTTTAAGCATCATTAAGCCTGCAAGAAGGAGTTCGTGCATGAATGGCACCAGTTTAATTTGTGACAGCTTTTAAATTCCACTTCCATTTTTAAAAAAGTAAAACAAACTGGTTAACAATTAAGTGAAGTGGTTTGTTGGGTAGGCTGGATGAAGCCTTTCCCTGCTGAGTAGAGGGAGAGGGGTGCATGCTATCAATTTTAGCAGAATGTCAAAACAGCCACTACGTTTCTAGTTGGCCCCAATAGGTGTGAACGTATCTTTCAAAGGTGATGATGGTGTCCTGAGTCTGCAGACAGCTTTTTTGCTGAACACAGCTTTCTAGAATTGAGCTAGCAATCTGCAATGAATTTTGCATTTGCTAAGGAAAAATCCACAAGAAGATAGTGATTTTCTTGGAATTTACTCAAGCTTTTTTCAAGGGTTCTCTAAATCTGTGGATTGATTGCAGAGTTTGCTGTAAATATTCAGTAACTGATTAGTTTAAATACAAGATGCTTTGATCTAGGATTGCCTCCTGATTCTCACTGGTGGTTCCTACTGTCTTATTCTTTCGGAATGGCCTCTGACTAGTAGGTGTCTGGCAGTTTAAAAAAAAAAACAAAAACAAAAACTGCATAGCTGGCCTCAGCATTTTTGAAAATCAGATGAGCATACTTTATCCAACATGCTTTCATCACACATGGAGGAGTATTGATTTTAATGTGGAAGTGTCACTTGAATTTGTGATGGGACACTGTTCATTTGAATAATTAGTTTTGCATATGAAAGTGCAATCAATCATGGTTTTTTGTTGTTGTTTTTTTTTTTTTAAATGAACGCGTGGAAGCACCATTTAACATATTCAGGTATATACTTACTAGCAAAAACATTAATATTTATATGCAAGAAGACAGAGATTAGAGCTGGTTTAAATTTCTTGACTTATGAAAACTTTTCCTAGTGGCAAATGTGGTTTTGACAAAATCAGAATTTTCTGCGGGAAAAGGCTAATTTCAATAACATTTTTGATTTTGTTCAAAAAGAAATTTTGAAATTAAACATAATGCTTCAAAGTGACATTTCAAAAAAAAAATTTTGTTCCAGTTTTTGGAAACTATGACATTTTGTTTCCATTTTTTTGGTTTTTGAATGTTTGGGGTTCTCCCATTCTCCACCTCTTACCACCCCCCATGCCTTTTTGTTTCCACTGGAAAAATTTGAGAAATGGTAAACAAGTGTGAAAGTACTTTCTACATTTGCTTACTGTTTTCCAACATTTTCCACTGTAATCTAAATGAAAAAAAAATTTGTTTTGAAATGAAAATTCTTGTGGAAAACCTGAAATTTTTCAGTTAAAAAGATTTGGTATTTTCCCATGTAATTTTTCATTAGGGGAAAAATCAGGTTTTTATATCAGCTCTAGCTGAGATACAATTGCTTTGGACTTTATAATTTTGAATACTTTGGCTTGTTAAAATTAAGAACCATAACATTGCAGTAATACTGCATAAGTTATTTTTGCACTGAATATATTTTTTGTTTTAACAAATTTGTATGTGTTTTTTTTGTAACACTTAAAATGGAATCTTTCTTTTTCTTATGTAGGTCCTTATCACCTGCATTTAGGAGTCCAGAACACCATAGACAAAGATATGCTCATATTAATTATGACTGTGAATATAAGAGATTTAGGAAAGACCTAAAGAAACCTGTGTCTTGGAGAGTGGAAGATGGGAAATACGGACAAAGCAATTCTAGATTTGCACCACATGGGAATATCCCCCACAGAATTTATGAACATAGATCATCTTCACCAAATGTAAAAAGAATTCCTTTAGAGGATACGTATAGTCGTAAACCCTATAGAACACATTCATCAGAAAGGGGTGAAGGCAACAGGAGATATCAGTTTCCACCCAAATACTCAGAAGTATCCTACAAAGAACATGATCAACCTTTTTACCCACACAAAATGCAAGAAAGATATATTCCTGAGGACTTCAGAGTCACTGGAGATGAAAAAGGAATGAAACCTTTTCATAGACCATTAGGGGCTTCATGTAAATTTGAAAGAAAATGGCATGAAGATGAAATGAGGCACCAGAAGTTTCAGGAAGACAAATATGGTCAGTCACTCCGAAGAGCTTCTGAAGAATTTACGACAAGGAGCTCTTTGCAGAAGAGGTATAGGAATAAAATAATTAAACCTGGGTAATGTGGTGTAAAGCCTCAAGTGAAAGTCTATTTTCGTTGTAGTTGAAGATTTCCACCTTGAAAGGCATTTATCAATTTGTAGTTTAATTGTGGGCAACTGGTGGTAGAGAAGTAGTTATCTTTTTAAGTAAATCATGTACATGGCTAGAGTATAAAAGGATAATATTTTCCTTTTAAGTGCCCCTGCACTTCTGTACTCTGGCTTGAGGGATTTTGGGTTAACTTGCCACGCATTCTGCATATAAGGCCGTCTATCCAACATTCTGCACATAAATTCTCACTTTCTTCTCTAGTGCAAGTGTAAATTGCTTTATGTCAACACAGGTATCCTGAAGATCGTGATTACAGAGAACATGGGCATACATCTAAAAGGGCTAAAGAAATTGAGAGAGATGACGGTGGAGAAATAGCAAGAAATCACAAATGGAAGCAAGATCGTTCTTTTCTACCCTACCAAAAAAAGGAGGAGCAAAGAAACATTGGTCCACAAGCTCATCGGTCTGCTGAAAGGGAGTACACAAAGAGTTCTGTTACGAAGATAGCATATGACTATAGTTACAAACATCATAGACACCCAGATGGGACAAAATCTTTTTCTGATGATAGAGCTCAGAAGTATGTAAAGCAGGAAGACCAAAAATATAATTCTCCTAAGGGTGCTCTGAATAGCAAAGAGTTAGATTATTGTAGTGGTGGAAGAGTAAGACAGACTGAAGAAGGGCATAATGAAGTACCCATTAAATATAGTTCAGAGAAGGGCTGCAATGCATGTGCCAACTCTTACAAAAATGATGTTGATCTGAGACCCTTTAATAACACAAAGAAGGAAAGAGTAAGGAATGAAGGGGATTTCAGAAAAAAAATAGATTCTTCTAATAGCCATCATGACACAAGTCATACAGTTTCAGATGTGAAAATGTCAGATGTCACTCCTAGGAAGGAGCTGCTCACAATCAAAGTGGATATGAAGAAAATGATGAACAAGTACAGGTATTTTTTTTTCTTACCTGTTCATGCTTCCTTTCTTGTTTAGTTGTGAATATTAGAGAAACCAAAGATTCTTAAGGTGGTAACTAGAGCAAAATAAGGTGATTGTTCCTTAGTACAAAAATGCTAACTTGCTAACTCTGATGAGTTAATGTTTGTTTCTCTGAACGGAAAATAGTACCTGATTATAAGGATGTAGCGGGGGGGGGGGGGGGGGAAGCTTTTTTTCCCTTCCTCTCACTGAGATGGATTTATCTACCTAGGATTTTTTTTTAACCAGGTAAAAATCTGGTTTTGTCCTGTCTTCTGGAATGACCATTTAGGATGGGATTTTCATTGACTTCCACTGGTACTTGGGTACCTAACTCCATCAGGCTCCTTTGAAAATTACTGCCTTAAAATGTATATAATCTCAAATACCTGAGATCTCAAATCCAGTAAAACTATAGAACAAAATGGTACATTCATGGGCTGTATAATTCAAGTGTGTTGAAAGAGGTGTTGCTGGAACAAACTAAATTAAACAGCAGCATGTTACCTGGGCCTGATGGTATTTCTGCAACAGTTCTGCATGAGCTTGAAAGTGAAGTCACTAGCAGCTAACAAAAAATATGGCATTATCATAATCAACCATTATGCCAGAGGACTGGAAATGGCAAATGTTGTACCTATGTTGAATAGGTGTTTGATTGTAATTTCTGTGATCATCCCTATCAGGCCTACTTAAGTACCAGTAAATTAGTAGAAATTGCAATATAAATACCTAGATGAAAATTACATGGACGGACAAGCCAGTATGACTTCTTGAGAAGAAATCATGCTTCAGTATACTAGAATTATTCTAACATATTAACATGATGGTGAATAAAGGAGAGATGGTTTATATAATTTGGGCTGGAAAACCTTGACAGGCCTTTACGAGAAGCTATTTTGAGGGGGTTGGGGTAGGGGAACTAGGTAGTTACAGTCCGAGAGGTAAAGTACTATGATGAATTATAACTTGCCTGAGAGACAGAAAACTATCCATTTGCAGCATGGCAAAAGATTAGCAGTTGGGTGTCATAAAATTCTCTACTAGCACTAGTGTTTATTCTTATATTAATAAACTGTAGAAGAGGCTGAACAGCTAAGTGGCAAAATCTTGTGGATGACCAGATTTAATCAAGAAAGAGTTAGTTAGAAAAAGAATTGGATAACTACATAAGGTAGGAGAGAGATTTTTATAAGGGAGGCAAACAGTCATACCTCATGGCAGAAGCCAACTTCTGACAAATGTTAGGAAGAAACTTTCCTTGCGGAGACTGCACTGGATGAGCCACGGGTCTTATCTGGTATAGCAGTTCTTATGTTCATGATGTATTTTCTGAAAGGTGAACAATAAACCAACGTTCTAGATGTCTGAGTGGTATTTCATTACATTGATAAACTACCTCAGTCTAAGAAATAGAAAAAGAATATAGTCAATTAGAAACTCCTTATATATCAAGGGAACTACTCCCACAGTATTTTTCCCTTCCCATCAAAGTTTCTTTTGTATATTTTTCTGCCTGAAACCAGTAATAAAATGTGGGGTTATGGAGACTAGAGAGAACGCTGTACTAACTGAAGAGAGGCCAATATGAAAGACTATAGAGGGCTGTACCACTAGGGAGGTTGAGAGACAGTGGCACCTGTGTTTGGGCTGCTGTTCCTGCTTTCTTGAGTGGCAATATACATGACGTGATTCTTCTCCATTTCACTGCTTCCCACAAGGGTCCGAAAAACAGTACTGAAGGACCTGGCCATGTCTTGCTAATTTCACTGTGTTTATGTTTGGGAAAACCACCCACAGTAGAGATGGAAATTTATTTGCAGACCGAGCAAGACAACACTACATTGATTGTCATTCATTTCACATTTGGAAGACTATTTTTGCATCCTTTTTTTTAATGAAAACTTAATTTCTGCAGAAGTTGGTTGCTTAGGTCCGTTAATTTTCATTGGAAAGCTTCCTATTCTTCAGTGGCAAATAGGCAAACGGAGTTTTCAAGACCTTCCAGGAACAGCTATGTCTGATGTAGCTCATTATTATTTAAATGTTGCTTCTGTTGCTTCTTGTTGGAAGAAAATAGAGAGTTGCCTTCCAAAAGCACAATTTAAAAAAAAAATCCAAAACATTTTTGTATTTTATAAAAAAGATGATAATGTGGAACACTTAGAGGTGTTCTGCATTTTGTGTTTTCCTAAATAATGACTAAAGCATTCATTGTAAGGAGGGTAACAGAATAAGATTGTTAAAAGTATTGCTGGTCTCAAAATAGTTTGAGAAAATGCAGCAATTTTGAAGACCCAACTTAATTTAGAAATTTTAAAACGTACTGACAGAAACACCAGATACTTGCTTCTCCTTTGATATATTAACCAATCAAGCTGGTTACTTGCAATAGTCAGCCACAAGACTTTTCAAAAATTGGATCATTGTTTGAGGGGGTGGGAGTGGGAGGGAATAGCCTATTCTACTGTTGGAAATCAATATAGTCCCTCTTTTCGAATATGGAGATACATCCTGCCGAGTTCCAAAATCACTCCAGACCTTCTGCTGGAACATACACCTATAGCAATGGCTGTTTCTCAATACATGTTTTTCCTTTATTTTTATTTGATTATGTGGGTTCATTACATAATTTTAAATCTACAAATACATATAATCATTAAAAATCCAGTCCTAGCTCACGCCTAGTCTCCGTGCTATCCTCTCCTTCATCCCTCATTCAGTCTTCTCCTTCATGATCTGTGTTCCTCGCGTAGTGTTTGATTTAAAATGTGAAAAGGGCTTTAATTTGTTTCCACTTTTCCCTAAGATAAAATTCTCTTGATCTACTCTTTATTTTAATTTTTTGTTAATATTTCAGTATCTCTGAAAGTTACTAAATAAATTTATGCAAATTTATTCTAGGACTGCTTCTAGCCATACTATGGAGCGGCAGATGTCACATGATCTGGTTGCTGTTGGCAGGAAAAATGAAAATTTTCATCCAGTGTTTGAACACATGGAATCTGTAACACAAAATGTCGAGAACAATCCATCAAAAGAATTTACTCAGGAAATCATAACAATTATCCATCAAGTTAAAGGTGAATTATAATATTTTATGCTTGAACATATAAACTAGGGATGTGGTTAATTAAAATGTTTTGGTATCTACCAGAATACTCGCTATTTAAATACAAATAGAACAAGACAAGTAAAGCCTCATGCAGGTTTCTGAACAGTATGTGGGGTGGCTGTGGTCTTGGGCATGTTTGACAAGGAATGCTGATGTGGAGGTTTTGGTAGTCTAGAGTAGAGGAAGTCTGGTGTGTCGCTAAGGGTTCAGGAAGGGTTTTGCTAGAGGAGCGATCAAATTAAGCTGCTTGTCAAGGAAGATTTGGGGTTCTGTCCTGAGTGAATGTGGGTAAGAGATATGCAGAGGGCTTGGCAGCCTGGAGAAGGTGGTAGGACATTGGGGCTCTTGATTGTTAAAGGTGGGGTTAGAAATTGACTGCTGGGACAAAAGTAGTCTCTTAATTGGTGGCCTCACTTGGTTACATAGTTTTTATATTAAGTAAAAATGGTCTTGATTTGCATCTCATTTACAGCCAAAACAAATACAAAGCTAGGGCCTCAATTCTATGTGGTAATCCATATGCATAAACTATTGCACCCATATGCATCCCATCTTGCAGTACCAGGGCTTATGTGTTGCAGTGGAGAGATACTGGTGCCTCTCATATAACTTTTCTTGGGAGGAAAGGAGTGAGATAAAATATACTTTTGTTTTATTCAAAATTAACTATAAGCAATTTACATTTTCTGCTCCTTTCATTTTTCAGTTTAACCTTATTAATTTTGTTGTAGTGCTACTTCTATGCAATGCTGATTGTGACAACCCATAGGTACCAGTATTTAAATTATTATATTAACAGAGATGGTAAACCCTTACATCCCTTTATGTTGAGATTAATTTTATTGAAAAATGAAATGATTAAATACATTGTTGCTAATATACTAAATATTAAAGTACTAGGATGGCTGCTTTAATATGTATGCAGTTCGTTAAAGTACTAATCTTTCAGCAGTGTGAGTTAGGGTTGTATTTCAAGTGGGATTTATTTGGATTTAATGTCAGCGTTCAGTGTTATTTTGTACAGTTAATATTTTAATAGTATGGTTGTGCAATTGCAATACAAATGATAAAGTAATATTTTTGCATTTAATATATCTTCACAGCAAATTATTTTACATCTTCTGACCTAACTTTAAATGAACGCTTCTCAAAAATTCAAGATAAACCAGTTGTAAATTTAAATGAAGTTAAAATATATTCAGATCCAGAAATTCACAGGTAAAGCATAAACTTTGTGCTATTATTTATATTGATTCAGCTATTTAATTGTTTCCATTATATTATACGTGCAGCTTAATGTGGAATATGAAATAAATGGAATATTTCTTTCAGCATCTTTTAGTGGACTGTAAATTGCATAGCATGCAACTGTGTAGTATAATTGTTTTTAAAATGGCCATAATAACCATGGCTTTTTGTTTAAAGTGATCATTCTCTTCCATGTTTAAATGTGGCATACTCATTCTTATATCATTTCGGTTTATTACTTCAGGAGAATTGATATATCTTTGGCAGAACTTCAGAATAAACTAGCTATGCCATGTGAATCTGGACAGGTATGTTCATTTTTTGTTTTTTTATGGGGGGAGAATAAGTTACAATGACAATCTGTTAGCACTTCTGTAATCCTTTTTTCATGCTCTTGTAACTCGTCCATAACATTCCCATTAGTATACAAATACTGAACCATCAAGCAATTTTAAGATCATTTTAATTTTTTTCCACATTTTTTTTTTTTTTTTTGCACATAGATTTAGAAAGTGAATCTTGACAGTCCAAGTATTGTGTATTTCCCTGCCCATTCAATAAGCAGGCAAATGTGTTCTGCGCTAACTGAAGTCTTTGAGTACTCATGCTATGCATGGTTCCACCTGGGGTTATAAAAGGCTCTAACCTCCTTCCCCTCCTGCTAAACTAAATAGTTGTCCTGAGTACTTCTCTTTTTGTAGGCGCAAGCAGCCTCAGCACTATTTACCTCAAACCAACTGTATTGTCAGTGTACTTTAATGATTATAGTTGTATTTACATATTGTTTAAAAAATGTTAGGATCTAGTTAATGTGGATCCAGATAAGCACCCAGGCTTCAAGCACTGCACTGCATTTCACACTAGGTGCTTAAAGTGTTTGGGAAAAGGGCGCCTACTTGAGGATACTTGGCTGGTGTTCTCTGATATCAGAACAAGATGCAAATAAGAAAAGTGGGACTAGGCCTTTCCATGTGGCACTCTATCTGAGGCTTTGGATCAACTGATCAGAAGTACTTCAGTCTTTCTCCAAAGAGGAAAGACAAATAATTGGTTATAGCAGCCCATTCGGAGTCCCATAGTCCTCTATTCTCTGAGGTATCAAGACAATTTTAATGTAGTTGTTTCAAAGAAAAATTCAAGAGATAAGCCCTTGTTGCCAAGCTCAGGATTGTATGGAGAAGCATTGCCTTTAAAGGTCCAATCCCCCAGTTCACCAGCCTGTTAACTTCTGTATGTTGAGCTAGGTTCTTAGTAGGCTTATGGCTACTCCTTTTGAATGTTGGGGAACTGTTCTCTACCTTTTCTTTCCAGAAAAGTTGTCTTCCTGATGGCTGAGTAAAATCCACACTTTAATGATGGACCCTTCTTGTTTAGTATTTTCCAAAGAGAAAGCAGTGCAGCATCCTTAGTTAATATTTCTGGGTAAAGTGTAGTATCTGAGCATCATCTAAAACGGGTAGGCAACCTATGCACACATGCCAAAGGCGGCACGTGAGCTGATTTTCAGTGGCACTCACACTGCCCGGGTGCTGGCCACTGGTTCAGGGTACTCTGCATTTTAATTTAATTTTAAATGAAGCTTCTTAAGCATTTTAAAAACCTTATTTACTTTACATACAACAATAGTTTAGTTATATATTATAGACTTATAGAAAGAGACCTTCTAAAAACGTTAAAATGTATTACTGGCACGCGAAACCTTAAATTAGAGTGAATAAATGAAGACTCGGCACACCGCTTCTGAAAGGTTGCTGAACCCCGATCTCAAATAAAACATATATCTATATCTTCTGCTCAAAGCTTCATACCATGCTGAGGAAGGCTAGCTGAATAAATTAGATGTGAAAACAAACCTTTGAAAATTAAGCCATTTTGGAAGTAATCTTATTTGAGGACTTTGGTAACAAGACCAAAGGAGACGAGATCTCCATCTAGAGCAGTAGTTCTCAAACTTTTGTACTGGTGACCCCTTTCACATAGCAAGCCTCTTGAGTGCGGCCCTCTCCCCCCTTACAAATTAAAAACACTTTTTTATATATTTAACTCAATTATAAATGCTGGATGCAAATTGGGGTTTGGGGTGGAGACTGACAGCTCACGACCCTCCATGTAATAACCTCGTGACTCCCTGGGGGGTCCCAACCCCCAGTTTGAGAATCCCTGATCTAGAGATTATCCAGATGGTTAAAGTAATGTATCTGGATGTCACAGTTACCGGGTGAAGTTTGAGCCCCTTTAGTCCTTCTCAAGTACCCCCTAGGTGGCAGACCTGGCTCCTTGCACCTCATTCTGTTTGGAACCATGTACTTCAACTACTATGGAACTGGGTCTATGGCTATCAGCTCCCCTGTTTCCCACCTGTGTTAATGTGGCAGGCCCAACTTGGTTTGGCACCTGTCACCACTTTCACTCAGGGGTCCTTTGACCACTGAGGTAGTTATAGTGACTCCAAAACACAGCCCCCCATTTTTTATTCATTCACTAATGGTACAGAGCATACAGAGCAAAGGATAAACATAATAGAAATCGACACCCATATTTCTCTTTACCTAACCCCTAATTGCAATCTTTCACATGTTTCAGCCAGCCCATTTATCTCCACCTCTGGGTTATGAGAAGCCGACTGCCACTACTTCAGTTTCTGCATTTCTCACTCTTTATGTCTCCTTGCTAGCCTGTCAGCTCTCATTGACTCCTGGGGCAGACCCTCTTAGCTCACCTGTACCCCCTTCCTTTTCTAGGCCCCGGGATCTTGTAATGGTTGAGTGTTCCCTTTGACATCTCTCTCTTCTCAGCCTTGATAAAACATCTCAGAGTTGGGGCTGAGGAGCCTTCCCTTCGTGGCTATAAACCTGGCTATTGTGTTTGAGAATTTGGTAGGATGCTCATTATCTTGGCCATTGTAAATGCAGAGTCTCGTGTGCCATATTCATTAAACCAAGATATTTCCCACTTCATTACACCAGGCCTGAAAGAGTTCCAGCACCAAGAGGGACTTGGAGTCCTTTCTAACAGAGGAGCCACCTTGCCATTCTGTCATTAATGTACCTTTCTTTGTAAGGATCCCACTTGGAATTCCACTCATAGCTTAGTTTATTCAGTACTTTTTTTCTCAACTCCATAGCCAAATAGGAGGGCAGGCCTGAGGTCTTTTAATTAAGTATTCTGCCCTCTTCCTGCTTGCTAATCTACTACAGTGCAAATTTACAGAGGTAACTACATGAAGGAGAATGGCAGCCTAAGTACCAGTAACTGAGTTCTGTGAATATTTTGTCTCTTCAGCTGTACACTGACCCTTCTTCCCTGTTACATTGAGATCTTGTAATTAGTAAAATGAAGCAAAGAGGATCAGCAGATAGTTGCAGAGCTGAGTTCTTTATAACCAAGGTTTGAACTTTGTATCCATGGGTCAATGTGCATGCCAGCCTCCTACCCGCACTCAGATGGTTACACCTCTTTAAAATGGTTTTGCAAGCACAAGACAAGCCACAGCACCTACTGTATGGATCAAGTAACCTGCCTTTAAATTGATTTTATATATCCAATATAATTTCAGTAAAATTTCCCTTCCTATTACTTAGACTGTTGTGAGAGTTCTAGAAGATCCAAATGATCTACGGCATGATATAGAGAGGAGGAGAAAAGAGAGGCTGCAGAATGAAGATGAGAGAGTGTTTCACATAGACAGTGTAATTCAAAGGTAATCTACCTTTAGTGAATAAATCTGTATACCTGAGTCTGTAGGGTCATCAGAAATTTTTTGCATCTGTTTTTAAGGTTGGTCCTTGAATTTTGAGTCTCAAAATCTAATTCCATTTAAATCCACTATAAACACACCTAGACTTTATTCTGTAGTAACAAAGAACAGCCTTGAAAGAGAGAACGGTTTAACTTTTAATAAAGGTGAACTGCAATGTGAAAATTAAAATTAAGCTTTGTGTCAAATGTTCCCACTGGCCAGGCTGTGGGAAGGAGGAAGGAATTGAATTCAAATAGATGTTTTTAACCATTTAAAAATTCCCCTTTGTTGTAAAATTCTCTTGGAATTCTCTGGTTCGCTGACAGTATTCTGGAATGAATTGTTCTGTGCAACCATTGCTATTTGTGATGTCCCCATCTGGGATACCTTCAGTGAAGCAGGAAGTTCCAAGAGTATTTTAGAGATTTCTTTTTCAAAAGATTTAGTTACAGTTTATTATTGCACAGAGTGCCTCCCACTGCTTGATTAGTGGGGACATTCAGCATAGAAATGTCTGTTTAACTCAATTTTACTATCGTATATACTCGATCATAAGCTGGTTCGTTTATAAGCCGAACCCCCCTCTGCCCCCAAGGTGAATAAGTAAAAATGGAAAATTTTTATAACCCATTCATAAACCGACCCTATAATTCAGGGGTCAGCAAACTTTGGCTCCCGGGCCATCAGGATAAGCCGCTGGTGGGCCGAGATGGTTTGTTTACCTCAAGTGTCCGCAGGCACAGCAGTAAACCTAGTAAACAAAGTGTCCCGGCGTGCCAGCTGCTTACCCTGACGGGCTGGGACAGCAACTAGTGGGGAAATGTATTTTGGGGGGAGAATCTGGGGGTCAGGGGAGTAACCCCTGTGACCACCCCCCACATGACCCAACCCCTAGCCCGGGACCTCCACACTCTCCCCATCCTATCCCTTCCCACCTTATCTGGGGAGGGCCAGGGGAGGATGTCTCTGGGCTGGCTGGAGCTGCTCCGGCAGGCTGGGCAGCGCGGCTGCAGCCTGCTCCGGTGGGCCAGACAGGGCGGCGTGGCTGCAGCATGTTCCAGCGGACTGGGCCGGGTGGCACGGCCACAGCATGCTTAGGCGGGCCGAGTGGCACAGCCACAGCCTGCTCTGGGGGGCGGGCCGGGCGTCACGGCTCCAGCCTGCCAGCCCCGGAGCTGCAGCTGCTTCCGAGGCTGTGCGGAGAGCAGTATGGCCAGAAGCAGAGAGACTCTGGCCTCACCTCTTCCCTTCTGGCTCTGCTGGCTGTGCTGCCTCTCCTTGCTCCCTCTGTTGGGCGGAGGGGCTGTGTCCCACTTCTCCATCTCTATACCTGTTCATAAGCCGACCCCCTTCTCTGGTGCTTCCCTTTCTTACTAAAAAAAATTCGGCTTATGAACGAGTATATATGGCACTTCACTGGTTAACCTTAAAAGATTAATCTGAATATACAGAGATGACTTCTTTGTACAGAAAAGAATAATTGTGGAGGAAACTGTCAAATTGTAATGAAATAGGGCTTGATTTGATGATATCTCATAACATACCAGTGCATATTTATTTTAAATACAAAGCCTATTACATAGTAAGTTGCAATACCTGCTGATTAGAAAACTAATTTGTGGCTTGGACTGGGTGCAGACTTAAGAAGGGGAGAAGGAACTAATTTCCTTTCCTTTGTCAGTTTGTAACATCGTCATCATGTTTTCCTTTTTTTAAAAATTGATGAGAACTTTCATGGAAGATCATACAGAATATATTATGTAAGTGATTAGCTTGATTCACTGCTATTCAACTCTCGTCCAGTATATCTGAATGAGTGTCCTAGGAATTCATTTTATAACTATATATTTTCAAACAATAGAGATTTACATTTAAATGCTTTTAGGCCATACTATAAATGCTTATTTAAAAGTAGATGCTAAGCAACTTGAAATAGGCAAATGGAAATGGTCAGTTGTATAGTCCCAAAGCTAAATCTTGACTTCTAGTGGCTGCTTCTTTTTATGGTGAATCTTTTCTTAGGTAGATGTTGACACTACTGCATTTGTGGTATACTAAATAAGAGAGAGTGAGTGGTATGGCCTGTTCAGGAAGGAGACCTACGGGTATAATATCAGTAAGCATTCTTTTGTGTACTGCATAATGTCTGTTTTAATTTAGAGCTTTACAAATTACAAAATTTGTATGGTTTTATTTAGAAAACTGCTTAGTGGTGCTTACATGAATGAGCTATTTTCTTTCTATCAGGAGAGAATATAAAAGGCATATTAAAGCAGCATTCCAGGTTTTATGCATTTGAAACTGCTAACCATAAACTCCAGTCTTATGTTTCAGGCAGTTATTCTTCAGCTTTATATTTAAACCTTATATAAGACACCAATGTACAATTGTGAAATCTTCAAAAGTAGTAGGAAAAAATAAATTTTTGTGCAGGACCTAGAGAAGAAATGTAGTTTTTCTTCTTGCTCTTTGCAGCTTTGCTTCTTTTGGTGCCATGTAACGCCAAGGATTCTTCATAATTCATGCAGTGTTTCTTCATATCCTGCACTTTCATAGGTTAATAGATTTTTAGCCTAGAGAGGGATCATTTGTGGTCTAATCTGACATGCATAACATTGGTCAAAACCAGATTTTTAAAATTCCACCTTCAAAATTTGTTCTTATCTCTTCTTAATCCAGGGTGCTAAGAGTATGTTGTATTCAGCAGTGGTTTTCAACTAGGGGTACGGGGCCCACTGGGGTGCCACAAGCAGGTTTCAGGGGGTCCGCCAAAATAAACCAGAGAGCAGGGCTGGTGTTAGACTCACTGGGGCCTGGGGCTGAAGCCTGAGCCCCACCGCCGTGGGCTGAAGCCAAAGCTTGAGCAACTTAGCTTTGCGGGCCCCCGTGACGTGGGGCCCCAGGCAATTGCCCTGCTTGCTACCCCCTAATGCCAGCCAGGGCTTTTAATCTACTGGATATGCAGAAAAAGAGTTGTTGTAGAACAGGCGGGCTGTGGAGTTTTTATAGCATGGTGGTGGGGCTCAGAAAGAAAAAGGTTGAGAAACCCTGGCATTCAGTATTTGAGTACATGACTTTCAATGGGACTTAGCCTAAGTGATTTAGGAATGCATGTCTACACTACAGCTTATGTCAGCATAATTTATGTCGCTCAGGGGTGTGAATAAACCATTCCCCTGAGAGACATAAGTTACACCGACATAAGTGCCAATGTGGACAGCACTAAGTTGGTGGAGAGTTTCTCCCACCGACACAGCTTCTGCAGCTCATGGAGGTGGTTTTATTATGCCACCGGGAGAGCTCTCTCCTGTTGGCATAGAGCATCTTCACCAGATGCGCTGCAGCAGCGCTGCTGCATCAGTGCTGTACTGTGTGGACAGGCCCTTACATGCTTTTGAAAATCCTATCAATGGTACATAAATAGAGGCTGGATGTCACACTGTGTACTGAATGTGGTATGAGGAATAGAACTTGTGATCTTTAGCTCCAAAAATGCAGACTTCTTCCATTTGAACTAATAGAACTCTCCATTTTATAAGAACACTAAGACATAGAGCTATGTTGGACAGCCACACTAGGCTGAGACAAGTTCAAGCTGTAAAATAATTAAAAGTAAGTCTAACATATTCCAGCCAGCAGAGGGCAGGGATAGCCAAGCACATGCATCGTTGAATCATTTGTACAAAGATTTTCAGTTGTATGATGAGGATTTAAAGACGGCACTGAGAATCACTAGCTTGTCTGTTTATTAATCTGTGTACCAGAATGCAATGATGATTTCATTTAACTTTGGTTTCGACAGTGAAAATGGACCACTAGTAATTTGTCAATTAATGTGCCAGTTTAACATATTTTTTAATACTTGTACATAATTTAAATTTTTTAAATAGCTTAATTTTGAAATATTGCTGGCTTAGTTTTCATTCCTTTTTTATTTTCTGTATCCAATCAGGAATGAGCACAATGGTAGCTTTTCAAAATTACAGAACTCTCAAATTGATGGATTCCAAAAGCCTATAAGATTCCTAAAACCACCTTTCAGGAAATTTATTAGGAAACCTCACATGGTAAGTTGAAGTGAAATAGATCCCTTTCCTTGCTTTTCTCTTCTCTTTCCCTTATACTCGTATTTAAAATTTTGCTGTGTTGGCTGGGCTGACATGAATTTTAAGTCTCTTGATCCCTTGTCATGTTAAGTTTCAAAAGATTATTTGTTGCATCATAAAATTTACCTGTGTTAAATTACATCTAAATAATACTAAAGTTTACTGGTCATGGGTAAACTCTGCTGCATCTGAACTTTTTCAAATGTTACAACTGTTACATAGTATACAAAAAGGTATTGGCTTGCATGAATGATGACATTATTCTGATTTAAAATCTTGATTTTTCTGCTTTTTGATGCCTATGCACCGCTCCTAAGCAACTTGTACTGTCTTTTTATTTCCCTGGCCTGGAGATGGTTATTGGGAATCGGAACACTGTTTGATTTAGACTTGGAACTATTTACAGTGGAGTCAGAACATTTTCAGGATAGTCAAGAAATGGGGAGATCAGTTTCTAACATAGGATAATGAGAGCAGGTCATTGTAATTCTGGGTGCTGAATGACTTTGCAATTTCAATGGATCATGGGGAACTATTAAATTAAAACTTGGATTGATTGCAGCCTGTATTCAAGAAATTTGGTGATGCACTACATTTTCCCTTACTTCATAAAATACTCCCACCTAAAGCACAGATCAAAGGGGTTATTACTGAATGACTCATCTGAAGTAAAATGTAATAGTTTTGGATGAAGAACACAGGAACAGAGAGCCAGCCCACACACTTCAGTGGCTGACCAAAGGACAAAGTGCACATCTTGCTTAAATTAAGTACCCTCCTCTGCAAAGAGATTATCTTTTAGTTACTAGAAAGATTCTAGGATATGCATAAGAAAAAAAAATTCAGGGAATAGAAATAATTGGACATACTTAAAATTCATGTAGTGAAAAAGCTCATGTTACTCTAGATCAGTGTTTCCCGAGGGCGTACTGGCCGCCTCTTCCTGCAGCCCCCATTGGCCTGGAGCAGCGAACCGCAGCCAGTGGGAGCTGCGATGGTCCGAACCTGCGGACGGGGCAGGTAAACAAACCGGCCTGGCCCGGCCCGCCAGGGGCTTTCCCTACACAAGTGGTGTTCCAAGTTTGGGAAACACCGCTCTAGATTTTTAATTCACCAAATTTAGATGGGGCCTTTACTGACACCTCCATAATGAGTCTTTTTTAAAAATAAAATTTGTACATTAAACTGGGCAAAATGATTACCGCAGGTCCAGTGCTGGCCTGTAATAATTAGAAATAAATGCATGTTCCCTCTGGACAGTTTATCTACAAATAAATGTAGTCTGTTTTCAAGTGTTTACTAAGGACTGGTCTGCACTGGGAACTTGCATCGGTATAGCTATGTCTCTCAGGGATGTGAAAAATCCACACCCCTGAGTTACCCCCAGTGTAGATCACACTAGGTAGATGGAAGAATTCTTCTGTCAACCTAGCTACCTCCTCTCAGAGAGGTGGATTAACTATATCAGTGGGAGAACTTCTCCCGTCAGCGTAAGTAGTGTCTACATTGAAGTGCCACAGGGGTGCAGCTGCAGCCGTGCCGCTATAACTGTTTGAGTATTGAAATACCCTCAGATAAATGAGTGACTGTAAGCTAACAGAGTTAGATAAGCAAAGGCACGCAGAGAAACTTTTGTTGAAATAAGTACAGTGTAAATTAGAACTAAAGCTTCAACTTCCTGAGTTTTCAAGGGACTGTTTTGGTGCATGCAGAATAAATAAAATAAACTAGACAGGAGACATGTAATTTGTGGTCTTTCTTATTTAATGTCTTGACACATTTAGTCAATATTTTAATGTCAAACTTCCATGGGTTCATCAGACTTTTCCTTAGTCTACCAAAGTTTGTTTTTATTATCCACAATTTGTTCACCAACACTGAAATGCAGTTGCTTTGGGGATGTAATATGGCAACTCTCTAACAGCTCTGACAATGCTACAGAACAATTTAGGACAGGACATGAATAATACTTCATTCAGAACTAAAATTGAAATTATGCATTTGAAACTGTGAGAGCCCGGCTTAGCGGTTAACAGACTCAATGCAAATCAGAAGGGAGTTGGTTCAAAGTGGGAACTGAGTTAATGCATTGTGTCTACTAAGGGTGCAGTGAAAACTTTTGCCTGACATTTAACAGGAAACTGCAGACAAGGGAGTTCTTGGACAGCAGAAAATGCCTTTGCCTTGACACTTACAAGTTCCAGCAATGAAGAGTTGCTGAGTAAGAAGCAACGGCAGCCATGAACGAACAGCTACTGAATAATGCAGGGCATCCTGAAGGAGAGAGAGCCAGCCATGTGCTAGCCAGTTTGAAGACAAGATTCTTGCCTCAGAGTTGACAATGAATATGTCAGCAAAAATTAGAATGAGTTAGTGCTAGCCAAATGTTTTAAAGAGATTAAAAGAGCTTTTAGGGACAGCACTAGAACATTTTTTACCAGTGTGTATTAGAGCTCCCAGTTGTGACAGATTAGCAGATGAGCATCCCTTTTTGCCCTTGTCTTGCCCTGGCACACTTGTGCTTCCTTTCTCCGTCCATCTTCTCTCCTCTTCTATATTGTTTTTTGCCTTTTTTAAAATGTTTCTTTTCGTTTTGCTCCCTCTTACTATTTCCCCACTCACTATATACTGCTAAGATAGCCCTTCATGGGGTGTATCATGGGCTGGGCTGGCAGATATTACTGTAGCTGAGCTGAGTGCCAGGGGAGAAGAACTTTGTCTGATAGGCTGTAGCTTAAGCCTGATCTCTGTAAAAGTGAGCATCTATCACAGAATTACAGGCTGTAGCAGGAGCAGGGTGGTAAGATTGTTTTCAAGGAGCCACCTGTAGCTTTAGCTTAAGAGTAATTTTTCAGTGTGCTTTAAGGTAGATCCAGAGCCATATAACTTTCTCAGCATCCACTGCTCTTTGGCCTTGATCCCCTAGAGTAGTCTGGCATCTCTTGGGTTGAAAAGTACTGCAGTAGAGAAGAGTGAAAGCAGCTATTTAAAGAACTGAATGAAAATAAAGATCCCAAAATAGCTCTAATATTAAACTCCTTTTCAAAAAGAGCTGCCTTCAAGAAAACCTGAGAAGCTTACACAAATAGAAAGTGAGACAATGTTATACACGTTCTTGACAAAAAGCAAGTAAGGAAATAAAGTACATTAAATATGAATACAAAGATCATCCAGTCTGCATAATATACATTCTGTGCTCTTAAGGGAATTTGTAAAACTCATGAATGACATATTTCTGAAATGTCATGAAAACTGGATATGTGCCAGATCATTAGAAAAAGCAAAGGTAGTATTGGTCTTCAAAATGAAGAGTGATCCTAGCAATTAATTTACTATCAATTCTATCTCTAGTAAAATATAGAAGAAATGTTAAGAAAAAATCACTACGTATCAAGAGAAGAACAAAATCATGGGCAGTAAGCAGCATAGAAATCTATCCACTAAAATAATTTTTGACAAATATTCTTCATTGCTAATTTATCAAGTCACTCAAAAAGTAGGGAAAGGGAATTTGGAAGATTAATATTTGAATCTTAGTAAAGCATTAGTAACTCACAGAATCCTGCTACCAAAACAAATTCATGTGGCCTTGGATATGAATATTGTTGCATGGATTCAAAACTGGAGGCAGGACCATTTAAAAAAAAAAAAAAAAAAAAAGACAATATTAAATAGCAGTGTGTCAGATTTGAAGGAGATATTTTGTGGAATCCCACAGATGTTGATTCAGTTCAGGTCCAGTCTAACCAAATATCTTCATAAATGATCTAGAACTGTGCGTATGTTAATGACACTAATAAAAAGTTGTGCTTGGTGAATGGGCAGTTGCAAATAGCCACAAGGAAAGAAGAGATAATAGGTAAATAATATGATAATGAAGTGACCTAGAGAGATTAAAAAAATAGAAAATAATTCAATGAGACTCAGCTTGGAAAAATGCATGTAGATCTACAGACAGGAAATACAGATATGGGAGGGAGAAACCTGAAATGTTGAGAGTTAGGGGTTTGTGAAAAGTAAATTAAACGTGATATCATATTGCACTATGGGAGTAAAATAGGCCAATATCTTTGAGCTGTGTAACTTGAGATCATGTTATGGAATAATAAGTTATTACCAAAGGTCAGAGTGGAGGGGTATGTGTGCAGGGTGCAGTGATTGTATTTTACTATAGCTCTGCCCACAGTCATAAAATGGTTTATAGCCTGAATTTAATCTAAAAATGTAAAAGGTGCTAAAAATTTGTGAAAACAAATTAATCCTAAAATTGTGTCATGTGTCCCATGTAATAAGAAACTAAACCTTAAATAAATTCCAAACTGCAACAGATAAATTACATCCAGATTAATCTTTTTAGTTGGCTCAATTTTGGTGCTGATTAAGGAATTCATCCTGGATTCTGCGGAAGAACTGTAGCAGTTTAGCATAATATCAGCAAAATCATAAAATTTAGGGGCACAAGTGGAATGAACGTCTGGCTAGCCTTTATGTTTGGGGTGTTCAACATGCAATCATAAGGCATATGCTTTTTAAATGACAAAACGCAATCGTAACCACTCCCCTTTTAAGTGTATTCGTTTTTGTTGACACGTAATTATACAGCAAGAAGATTGTACCAGAGGGGCAGGTTTCCAAGGGCAAGCATGACCAGTAGGCAAGGCTCTATGAATAGCATTTTTAAAAGAATATTTAAATAAGGACAGAAATAAATCCCTGAAGTTATTTAAAATTATATTTTAAATTAGATTGGACATCCAGTTTTTATGGTGTTGTGTGGATATTTCTGCTTAATTTTTGTTTATTCAGTATTTAAAATACTCTGTGGTTAAATCATGCTTGTCTGGCTCTTTGATTAAATGGTTGGTTCAGGTGCATCGTACACAGACATTAAAGAAGCAACTGATATTTGAAAGATTTAAATCTGAGTGGCAGGTCATACCAGATATTAAGATCCTGCATGA